TGCATGCGTTGGCACCAGGCAGGCAGGCCCGGTGCACCTGATGCGGGTGCCCGTCATGCTGGGGATTGATCCCCTCCAGGTGCACCCTCCATGCTTTGGCATGGCACGCCCCTGCGAACACACACGCTTCAATTCAGCGGCAGGGAGGCGCGCGGACCCATTTGGGGCCCATCCGCTCCCCTGAGGGGAACAGCTGGGCAGTGCACGGCCCAAGGCTCATCAGAATGCGGACCACTGCCGCGGCAAGTTCGCTTCCCCGACTTGGGATGCCACCCTGTAGGAGCCCTGATTCGACAGGATCGCACGTGGGCATGGGTGAGAAGGTGGTGGCGGCCAGCGAATGCGATCGCGAGGTGGAGTATCGATCGGTGCTCCCCACTAGGCACCTCAGTATCGTCGCTGTCCGCCGACCCCCACTTTAGGCCGCGCGGCAGGTCTTTTACATCGGTCAGGTGAGTTAGCCTGATCCGCGGCCTAAGGTTACATCCGAGACGATCCTTCTCCTCCTCCTCCTTCTCCTCCTCCTCCTCCTTCTCCTCCTCCTCCTCCTTTCCCCCCCCCGTCCTTCCTCCCTCACCCCCATGGGGAGGAGGGGGGGAGGAGGAAGGGGAGGTGAAGGAGGAAGAGGAGGAGGAGGAGTAGGAGGAGGAGGAGGAGGAGGAGGAGGACAAGCGGGAGGAGGAGGAGGAGGAAGAGGAGGAGGAAGAGGAGGATGAGGAGGAGGAGTAGGAGCAGGAGGAGGAGGAGGAGGAGAGGAGGAGGAGGAGGAGGAGGAGGAGGAGGAGGAGGATATGGAGAAAGGAGGAGGAGGAGCAGGAGGTGGAGGCGGAGGCGGAGGCGGAGGCGGAGGAGGAGGAGTAGGAGGAGTAGGACGAGCGGGAGGAGGAGGAGGAGGCGGAGGCGGAGGCGGAGGGGGAGGAGGAGGAGCACGCAGCCTGAAGGGGGAATCCGTCGCGCAGCGCGCCAACGGCCACTATTTTTCGGGGGACGACTGAGGCCATCCCCCAGTGCCTGCGAGGACCTCACCCCAGGTGCCCACCCGCAGGATCTCGGCGGGGAGAGCAGCAGACACAAAGAGAGCACGCAAGAAAGAAATGGCGAGCTCAATGAAAAACCCGACAAACGAGTTCAGAGAGGTTCAAGCAGTGAACCTCAGGATCATCGACTCTGAGATGCCTCTGGCGGAAGCGGAGGCGGAGGCGGAGGCGGAGGAGGTGGAGGTGGAGGAGGTGGAGGAGGAGCAGCCCCTCCCCGACTTGCTCCCTGCGCCTCGAGGGCGAGCTGGAGGACGGCTCCGAGGTCGCCATTAAGGACATCGACCTGGGCCCCCTGTTCGCACAGGGGCAGAGCCCCGAGATGGCGGGCTTCGAGGATTGCCCGGGAGAAGCGGAGTGGGGCCTGGGAAGGAACGGTGGAACGCGGAGGGGGAGGAGTAGGAGGAGGAGGAGGCGGAGGAGACGAGACGAGACGAGCCCGTGGAATCCACTGCAGTCTGGACTACCAGCATTCGCACCTGGGATTCTGGGAGTGGGCATCTTCGGCCCTCGCGATTTGACAAACTCAATCAACTACCTGCACTCCTCAGTCGAGGCACTGGCCTGTCGGCACCTCTGGGGCACGCAACCCCGAGCGAGGGCCGACGCGAGCGGCGCGGGAGACATACTCATTGCTGTCTTCCCTCGCTCGGCTCGCTCCCTCCTCTCCCCCGCCCCCGACTCCCCGCCCTCCCCCTTCCACGGCCAAAGCCCCTACGAGGCACAACTACGGTTGGCATACTCGGTAGCTCTGCCTGTCTGTAGGTCGGCATGTTTCTCACCTCCCCTGCAATCGCTCTGGAAGCTACCTCGCTAGAGATCACTCCTCGGGCGACTAGAGAAGTGAAACGCTCAGAAGAACTCCAATCTACCCGCTGTTCCCTGCATCTGAAATCTCTCGCTCCTGTCGGCCCCTCTACTTGCTGTTCACTGCTGCTGACATCTCCCGCTCCAGGGGGCCCCGTGGCGCACTCCCGTGCAGGCGGGTCCCCCCCTCCACTCGATCGTGCGCTTGAGGAGGTTGGCCGCCTGCGCTCCCGTCGCAGCCTGCTCGTCGATTCAGTAGGTGATCAGGCACCTCTGGTCTGCCTCGCTCTTGCGCAGCATCTTCACCCTGAGGTACTTGATATGCACGCCTATGCTCAGGATGTCCGTCTTGCTCACGGTGTCCTTCCAGAACGGCTCGGCGTCGGCGCGCAGGACCTTCCCCGCTTCCTCCGTAGATCCCGCCGCGCACTGCCCTGTCGCCATGTAGTGCATGGCTGCGCCGAACACGTGGAGGTGCGGGGGCCCGCGCCCTTGACGTGATGCTGCTCCTCCTGCGTTCTTCTTGTCGGCCAGCTTCTTGCTCTCTGCGTCGTACGTCTTGCCCGCTCCAGCCATCGCGGCGGGAAGCCCCTGCGCTGCGCTCATGCCGCAGGTCGTACACACTGCCGCGGACAAATCCGCGGCCTGGCGCGCCGCCGAGAGGAGCAGGCGACCGATGCTGTTGACTAGCTTGTTCGGGCCTCCTCCTCCTGTTGCGCGAGCCTCTGGCTTCGGCGTCTTGTCGGGACCGCCGGGTGCATCTCCCTGGGGACCGCGGCGCTGGCCTGCGGCTCCAGAATCGGGGCTGAACCACGACGGCACCGTCAGTGCGACTCCACTCTCTGGCATCCGGCTGTGACGGGAGCGGACGTCGGGAGGCGGAGGAGGAGGAGGACGGGGAAGAGGGGGATGATGCTGCTGCTGCTGCTGATGCTGCTGCTGCTCATGATGCCGCTGCTGATGATGATGCTGCTGATAATGATGACGATGATGCTGATGATGATGCTGATGAGGATGGTGATAATGATGATGCTGATGATGATGCTTATGATGATGCTAAGGATGATTATGCTGATGATGCTGATGATGCTGATACGGCTGCTGATGATGATGTCGATGGAGAGAGCGTGATCCACCGCCGCTTTACTGTGGAAAATTGCCAACCTTTTCCTCCGGAGCCCGGGGGTCGCCCCCCCCCCCCCCCTCCGAAAATCCCCCCCCCCCCCTGCTGGAACTCCTCCCCCCCCCCCCCGGCAAACCCCCCCCCCTCCCGTAACCCCTCCCCCTCCCCCCCCTCCCCCTCGAAAACCGGGGGGGGTCACTACCGGTTCGAACCCCTCCCCCCCCCCCCCCCCTCCGGATCCGGAAAACCGGGGGGGGTCACTACCGGTTCGAACCCCCCCCCCCCCTCGAAAACCGGAGGGGGGTCACTACCGGTTCGAACCCCTCCCCACCCCCCCCCACTCACCGCCAGCAAACGACTCCCGGTCCCTACCACCGTCCGCATCACATCCCCCACTGTTGTTCCCAGCACCACTGTCCTCACCACCACTGTCCCCACTGTGTCCCCACCAGTGCCCCCACCACTGTCGCACTGTCCCCACTGTCCCCACCACTGTTCCCACCACGGTTCCACTCTCCCCACTGTCTCCACGGCCCCAACCACTGCCCGACTATCCCCACTGTCCCCACTGTCCCACTGACTCCTCCGCTGTCCCACTGAGCTGTCCCACTGTTCCCACCACTGTCCCCACTGTCCCCACCACTGTCCCCACTGTACCTCTGTCCCATTGTCCCACCGCCGTCCTCGCCACCGCCTTCACCACTGTCCCCACCACCATTGTACCCTCCACTGTCCCACTGTTTCCACCTCATTCCCACTGTGCCCACACCGCTGTCCCCACCACCACCGCCCCCACCACTGTCCACTGTCCCCCCTGTACCATGGTCCCCACCACTGTCCCCACCACTACCGGCCCTCTACTGTCCCACTGTCCCACTGTCCCCACCACTGTCCCGCTGTCCCCTCACCACTGTCCCACCAACACCGTCCCCACCTCTGTCCGCACCCCCACTCGGTTTTCGAGGGGGGGGGGGGTCGAACCGGTAGTGACCCCCCCCCCTTTCATGATGAGCTGGGGGGGGGGGGGAGGGGTTCGAACTTAGTGACCCCCCCGGTTTTGGGGTGGGGGGGGGGGGGAGGGGTTCGAACCCGTAGTGACCCCCCCCGGTTTTCCGCCAGCAGCGGTAGAACACGCTCTTTCCGATGTTGATACTGATGATGCTGCTGATGATGAGGCTGATGAGATGACGATGCGGATTATGGTGCTGCTGATGCTGATGCTGCTGATGATGCTGATGTTGATGGTGATGAAAAGGAGGAATGGGAGGAGGAGACGGAGGAGGGATGGCGAGGATGATGACGATGTGGAGGCAGACGAGGATGAGATGGGATCAGAATTTGGGTCAGTTGAAGGGCCACGATGATACATATGCGGCTGAGCGGGTCGGGGGGGATGAAGAGGGGAGGAGCGAGCAAGACACGTAGGATACGTGTGACCGAGTGGTGCGAAAGATGAGGGTGGGTGATAGGGAACGGGGTCGATGATGATAAAGCTGCTGCTGCTGATGAGGCTGGCGGCTGTCATGATGATGATGCTGATTATGATGAGGTTGATGATGCTGATGATGGTGATGCTGCTGATGATGGTGCTGGTGATGAGGACGAAGATGGTGATGATGGTGATGATGACGATGACGATGATGCTGTTGTTGTCATTGTTAGTGCTGTTGTTATTGTCGTTGTTGTTGTTGCTGCTACTGATGATGCAGATGATGCTGCTGATGATGATGATGCTGATGGTGATGCTGCTGCTGATGATGTTGTTGCTGACGTTGATGATGATGATGCTGCGGATGCTGCTGCTGCTGCTGATGATGATGATGATGCTGATGATGATGATGATGATGATGATGATGATGCTGATGATGATGATGTTGTTGATTCTAGATAGGGGAAACAGTTTTACGACCTAATGGTTTTGTGGAGGAGGAGGAGAAGAAGGAGGGGAAGGAAGAGGATGAAGAGGAGATTGGCTGCGAGGACGAGGTGCAGACGCTGAGCAAGTTTCGGCACCCCCACCTCGTGACGCTGCTCGGATGGGGCAAGAAGGCCCGCCCGGCATGTTGCTCTACTCCTGTTCCTCCCACTCCGCTCTCCTCCTGCTGCGACGTGTGCGCTTGGAGCTTGCCGCAAGCGGCCTCGGATGCGATGCTTCGACGACATGTGTTCGACAGTGCGAAGTATCCACACAGATGGGTCTGGGGAGCGCTTGCCTGCGATGACGAGCTGTGGAGGGACATGGAGCCCATGCGCGTTCGCAAGTCCACCTGGCGCGCCCCGGCGCACCCGCCGTTCCCTACGCGGGACGCCCTCTGGGCGACATCGGCGCCGCTCCGCTCCGCTCTGCTCCGCTCCGCTCTTCTCCCTCCTCCCTCCTGCCTGTCTGGGCTGGACAGGGACCCTCTCTTTCGCCTCCTTTTTCGAGGCGGGACCCCCTGCTGCCGCCCCCGCCGCTTCTCTCGGCTTTCATCTTACAGAACGGGAGGCCTTGGCGGGGAGCGAGGCACGACGTCGAGAGCTCGCGAACCTTTCGCCACGCCTGCGTCCCACCACCTGCTTGTCTGGGTCAGCCGCCAGCACCGGCGGGCGCCCAGGAGCCTCATCGCCCCGCTCGCAGGAGACAGCTGCCTCACCGTGCCCGCGGCCACAAGAAGCGGAGGCCTCCCTCAAGGAGGCCCTACGCCGGGCATCTACAGGAGGAATATTCCAACATAGTCCAAAAATAGCCGATCTGCGTGAGGGGTGCCACTGAATTTCAGACATGTTGCAAATCCCTTGTGTTTTTGTTGACCCTGACCCCGCCGATTTGCATGAGGGGTGCCGCCGGATTTCAGCAATGTGGCACATTCCCTGTATTTTTTGGACCCTGACTCCGCCGATCTGCGTGAGGGGTGCCACCGAATTTCAGAAATGTGGCAAATCCCATTTGTTTGTTTGACCCTGACCCCGCCCATCTGCGTGAGGGGTGCCACTGAAGTCCGAACACGTTGCACATCCCATGTGTTTTTGGACCCTGACCCTGCTGTTCTGCGTGAGGGGTGTCAATCTTTACCCCCCAGAAATTCTGAGAACCCTCCCAGGGCGTGGTAGTTCTGCTGGTTTGGGCTTCCCCCCTATCGCGCGTTCATCAAGATCAGTAAGCAATAAAAAGCAGAACTGTAACAGTGGAAACTGGAAGCTGCAACTGGCACAGGGAACAGCACATTCCCGGCCTACAGCCCGGTGGCCCCGCAAGGGGGCCGGCGGACTGTTTGTTTACACATGTTTGGATTATTTTTGATTTTTCGTCCAAAATCCGGCTGTAGGAGGACGTGCCCGACTTGAAGGAAACCCTCCTCTTCGTCACGCTTTTCTGGGCAGCGGGTTCACCCGGGCCAGTCCGTCGGCTGGGCTACCGAGCCCGAGCTGCACGACGCCGCTTCGGCCGTCCTCCTGCAAGAGCCCCTCCCCGCAGCGTGCTGCCCTAGCTCAAACTTTCTGGAAACTTACCCACGCCGCCCCCGTCCCTGAGCCAAAGGACTTGGATTTCGCTTCTGAGGCGGATGCCTGCGTCACCCGCGCCACGGTCAGGTTGCCGCGCGTTGGCGGCTTGCCCATCTCCGCGGCGGAGACAAGCCAACTCCGTTCGGTCAGCGTGAGCCAGCGTGTGAACCGCGGGTGCGGACGCGTTTGTGCCCCAGCTCCTGCTGAAACGGTCGCTTCCAACAGAGCCCTGTTTGCCGCCCTCCGCCCTGACGGCCATGTTTGGCTTTGTTTTTGGGTCCTCATGGCCACTTTGTGCGCAGGACCACTCCCTCGACCTCTCCACCGTCGCGCAACGGGAGGCTCTCGAGACCGTGCTGCGACACTGCTCGCGTGACCAGCGCCGTGCTGACAAGGCCGCCTCCCTGTGCACGTCCATCCGGCACACCTTGTGTGGAGGGCCCGTCGGGCGACGAAACCATGCTCTCAGCTCAGCCACGCGCAGAGGGGGGTGGGAGGAGGGGGGAGGACTTCTTAGAACCACCCCTGCTCCTTACAGGGCGCGGGCCTCATCTATACATGTAAGGCCGGCGCCTTCTAAGAAGCAGCCTCCTTCTAAGAAGCCCTCCCCCCTCCGTCCACCCCTTTCGTGCGCGCCGCCAATCAGCTGCGGTGTTGCCTGGTCCTCCTTCAGCGCTGTGCTTGACGGCCCGAAGGGCCCCCTACCTGCTGGCCAGCCTCACGGCCCGCGTCGACCGGGTCATGCAGGCCGTGTTAGGGGAACGAACAACGACATAAACATTAAAACTCGGAGGTCCGCGCGGATTTCTCGGATCCGCGCTGGATCCCCCTGGCGGCGCGCTCTGCGCGCCAGGGAGGGGGGTCCAGCGCCGATCCGAGAACTCCGCGCGGACCTCCGAGTTTTCATGTTTATGTCATTTGTCGTTCCCCTACGCGTGGCCCTCGCAGCGCGGAGTTTCCCCTGCAAAAAGCACCCGCGGGGCGCAACGGGCCCTGGCTCGCTGGTTGCTGCCCGCCGCGGCCTCGGCGTCTGCGCCGCGACTCGGCTGGCGCGCGTCCGGGGGGCGCCGCCTCCACGTCCTCCTCCTCCCCCCCCTCCTCCTCCTCCTCCTCCTGCTCCTCCTCCTCCTCCTCCTCCTCCTCCTCCTCCTCCTCCACCTTGCAGCAGTCGCTGCTGCACCACTTCTTGGCGGGGGGGATCAACCCAGCAGGGGGCGGCTGTGGCCGATGTCGCGGCCGATCCCTTGTCGCGTGGCGAGACCGGAGGGACGCACGAGAGCACCGCTCAGCGCTGCCGATCTTGCGCGCCCCAACGGAGGGTTCTTCGACGCATCCTGCCAGGTGAGGTCTGGCGCTCACTGCGGCCTCACAGCCCTCACTGCGGTCCTTTCGAAGAGGATCCACGGCTCGTCGCGCTTCAAGCCGCCCTGGCCCGTGACCCTCATCAGCCCGGCTCTCGTCCTTCTTGGTCGGAGCTGGAGGACGTGCCCGACGAATGCGCACTCTACCTCGACGGCTCTACGGAGGACTGCTCGTGGGCCCGCACGAGCCCCCGCCCAGCCCCGCGGCTTCGCGTAAGGGTGACCCTTGGTAGGGTTGGCCCTTGGTGTGGGCCCACGGGTCGGTCCCGTCCAGGCAGTGGCTTGCGCGCTCGGATTCGCCCCTTTCCCCCCCCCCAGGCCCCCCCCAAAGGAGGTTGCCCTTGCCTAGGGTCTCCTCTTGCGCGCGGCGGGCCCCTGCCTGCACGGACCGCCTTCCGGGTGCACTGCGCCCCCGAGCGCTGCCTCAGCCACGCCATGCGCTCGCGAGGAGTGGCGCAAACCGTACGCAGAGCTGAGGCCGCAGCAGTCCACCACCAGCTGAAAGTCCCGCCTGCGTCTTCGCCGACAGCGAGGCCATTGCTGGCGGCTTCACGGCCATCTTGGCGGGTGCGCCTGCGCCTGTCGGGAGGGGGGGGGCTGGCTTCTCGCGGCAGCAGTGCCTCGCGGCTGTCCAGGCCAAGCATGGCTTCTTCAGTCTTCAGGGCTGTTAAGGGGCTTCTTCAGTCTTCAGGGCTGTTAAGGTGGTCATCCATCCTGGTCAGGAGGGCACTGGCTGTGGCCCCACCAGTCTTGTCGGGCGAAGGCATCTCCGAACGGGCCGACGCTTTTGCCACCGTGGCCTGCCGCCTCCCACAGCCTACCACCAGAAGCTGTCCAGGACGCCGATCAAGGGCAACGTTCGGGGGGGATAGCCCCGAATCGCCCACTCATCGCCGACAGGGGCTTGACAGCCCACCCCGCCCAGGAACGTGCGGATCCGCCACAGGGGGCCTGTTGCCGATCAGTCGCCGATTCCAGGTTGATGTTTCCTCCCCTGAGCCAGTCCCCCCCTCCCGTTCCCCCTGAGCCAAGTGCCGACGCATCCTGCGCAGAACAGAAGCCGGTGTTCACGCCCGAAGGCGCTGTGCTCAGTCCCGGGCTCACCGTCAAGCTGTGTGTGTGTGTGTGTACACCTTAGGCGATGCTTAAGAAAACTAAAATTTTCGGCCAGAGTCTCGATTATTCTTAATGTTCCAGTGCAAATCCTACAAATTTGGTAGAAATTTGGAGTTTTTATTCAAATTCTGAGACTATGAATTTCTTAACCCATGATTTCTTAAGCATTTCGCAGGGTGTACCCGTTCCCCCCTCCTTCGGCTCACGAGTTGACCCGCTGGAGAGAGGGCTCCGCCCTTTCGGTATACGACCTCCCTCCATCACCGCTGTCCTGCGGAACCCAGGGCGGGCTCGGCCCCCGGACCGAGACCGGTGAGGCAGCTGTCCCGCTGGAGCGTAGCGGTTGTTGCCCGCCCCCCCGGGGAATCGGCAAAGGTCGTACCGTCGGACCGAGGTATAAGATCGAGGTCGGTTCGAGGAGGGTACCCTAATGTTCTTCGTGCTGGTTGGATTTTCTTGTGCACCCTGAGGAGGGTACCCGTGGATGTTCTGTGCGTTTTGGCCGACGGAGGGTCTCGTGTTCTTGAGGGATGTTCTTCTGGCCTAGTTCCGATTGTACTTCGGCCCCCCGCGCCCCCCACATGCGGGTGCCCGCGCGCACGCTTCTTGGCGATCGCAGCGCGCCCGCGCCCCGACGCGCCCCACCCCGCACGAGCGCCATCGTTTCCTGGTGCCCCCGTCCCCTCCTCCTCCTCCTCCCCCTCCTCATCCCCCTTCCCCTCCTCCTCCTCCTCCTCCTCCTCCTCCTCCTCCTCCTCCCCCTCCTCCCCCTCCTCCTCCTCTTCCTCCCCCCTCCTCCTCCTCCTCCTCCTCCTCCTCCTCCTCCTCCTCCTCCCGTCCCCAGGCAAAGACCGTCACCGGTGTGCGGGGGCCATCTTCGAGCCCTGCGTTTCGGTCGGTATCATGACGAACGAACAACACACACCCATACTCATAAGGGCGGTCGTTGGGAGGAGGACTCGCTATGGGTATGGGTGCGGGTTGTCGGACCCTGGGGAACGCTCCCGTTCGAGCGGGGACCCCCATCTGACAACACGTACCCAAAGCCCTCTCCGACCCCCCTATGGGTATGGGTGTGTTGTTGGTTCGTCGTATCAGGGGCAGGTGTGTTCCATCCTCGCACCAGGTTGCGCTTTGCCCTCATCTCAGCGTGCTCTGGTGCCTGGTCCGTGGTGCTTACAGCGCCCGTCACCTTGTGGACGTGGCCAAGCCATGTGCGGGGCAGGAGACTCGTGAAGGGCCCCCCCAGTTGGCACGCATTGCGAGAGGTTTGCTGCTGGGGCCGCGCGCTGGCGGTAATTAGACAGTGGCGGGACAGGGGAGCGAGGGCGGGGAGGGCCGGAGCGGAAAGCGCCGCGCGCGCCCGCCCCGCGGCGAGCACCTGCAACGTCCAGTGGAGGGACAGGGGAGAGAGGGCGGGGAGGGCCGGAGTGGAAAGCGCCGCGCGCGCCCGCCCCGCGGCGAGCACCTGCAACGTCACTCGCAGGCCCGCCACGGCTTCCCGTCGGCAACACCCCAACATACTGATAGTATATGTGCGTCGCCCCCCCAGGGGCGACGCGCGCACCGAGAAATCTTACAGTATGTGCGTCGTGGCGGGCGCTTTCTGGCCACACCGCTCGGGAAACGATGCACTACAAGATGGGTATACTATGTGTTCGGGTCGGACGCGCGCCTCCAAGGAGGACATATAGTATTAGTATGTCCATGTGCGTCCCAATCTCGTCCCCCGCCCTTGAACGAAGGATTGCAAAAAACCCAGGATTGCAAAAAAACCTTCGGTTTTTTTTGCAATCCTGGGTTTTTTTGCAATCCTTCGGTTTTTCTGCAATCCTTATTTTTTTGCAATCCTTCGTTTTTTGGCAATCCTTCGTTTTTTGTTGAAAACCCTGCGGCAGGGAGCGCCAGGCCACGTGGCGTCGGTGGTGGCTCCTCGCGAGGTCCCCGGGCGCCACCCTGGCCGGGCCAGCGTGGACACCACGATCGTTTGAGGTCGATCGCCACGTCTGCCTCCTCCCCGCCCCCTGTCTCCTGCTCCTCCTCCTCCTCGTGCGAGTCCTCCTCCTCCTCCTCCCCGTCCTCCTCTTCCTCTCTGTCTCCTGCTGCTCCTCCTCCTCGTGCCCGTCCTCCTCCTCCTCTTCCCCGTCCTCCTCTTCCTCTCTGTCTCCTGCTGCTCCTCCTCCTCGTCCGAGTCTTCCCCCTCCTCTCCCCCGTGGCGCTGCTCGCCTCGGGCCAGAGGGCCCGCTCGGCCCCCCCCGCCGTCGTCTCCGGCTTCTGCCCTGGCTGTCCACGGCTCCTCGCTCGACGGGGCCCGGGAGGGGTGCCAGGTAGGGGTGGCGAGGATAAGAAGGAGGGTGCGGAGGAGGGGCGGCGGCGCAACCCTGATCCGTTTTGTGTCCGCTTCCTGCCCCCTCCCATGCCTGTTTCTGCTCACGGTCTTGGTTGCGAGCAGCGGGCCTCAGATCCGAGGTGCTGCGCAGGGGGCCCCCCTCACACCGCCCCCCCCCCCTCCGTCACGAGGGTTTTCCCCGGGGGGTCCGCCCCGAACGCCCACGCTGGTGCTCTTGATGATGATGCTGGTGCTGATGGTCATCATGGTGAGGAGGAGGAGGAGGAAGAGGAGGACGACGACGAGGATGTGGAGGAGGTGGGTGAGCAGGATGGTGAGGGACGTGGGCGAAGGAAGACGATGTGGTGATGCTGCTGATGATGCTGATGCTGATGCTGCTGATGACGATGCTGATGGTGACGATGCTGATGATGATTATGATGACGATGCTGATGCTTATGATGATGCTGATGCTGGTTTGGATGATGATGATGATGCTGATGATGCTGATGCTGATGATGGTGACGAGGGACGATGGTGATGTTGTCAATAATGATGGTGCTCAAGATTATGACGATGATGATGCTGATGCTGATGATGATGGTGATTGTGATGATGATGCTGTTGATGATGTTGATGCTGATGATGCTGATATTAATGATGACGATTACGATGATGATGATGATGATGATGATGATGATGATATGATGATGATGATGATAATGATGATGATGATGATGATTATGCCGATGCTGATGCTTATGACGACGATGATAATGATGATGGCGATGAGGATGACGATGCTGATGCTGATGGTGATGCTGCTGATGGTGATGCTATGTTGTTTTTGTTTGAGTATTTGTAGTACTGTTTGACCAGTATTGTTACTGTGCTGCTGCTGCTGCTGATGCTGATGATGATGCTGATGTTGATGATGATGATGATGATGACGATGCTGATGATGATGACGATGATGAGGATGGTGATGATGCTGATGCTGATAATGCTGATGATGTTGATTATGATGATGATGACGATGATGATGCTGACGATGATGATGATGATGATGATGATGATGATGACGATGATGCTGATGATGCTGATGATGCTGATGATGCTGATGATTCTGATGATGATGGTGATGATGATGATGATGATGATGATGCTGATGCTGATGCTGATGCTGATGCGGATGCGGATGCGGATGATGATGATGATGATGATGATGCTGCTGATGCTGATGATGATGATGCTGATGATGATGACGATGATGATGATGATGATGATGATGATGATGATGATGATGATGATGATGATGATGATGATGATGATGATGATGATGATGATGATGATGATGATGATGATGATGATGATGATGATGATGATCATGCTGATGTTGTTGATGATGATGGGGATGATGATAAGAGGATGACGAGGAGGAGGAGGATGAGGAAGAGGAGGAGGACGAGGAGGAGGAGGAGGAGGAGGAGGAGAAGAAGGAGGAGGAAGAGGAGAAGGAGGAGGAGGAGGAGGAGGAGGAGAAGAAGAAGAAGAAGAAGAAGGATCAGGCCTCTTGGGAGCCTTTTGGGGCATTCTGATGGGGCCTCCTGGGAGCTTCCTGGGGGCCTCTTGGGGGCCTCCTTGGGCCTCTCGGAGGTCATCGGGGGCTTCAAGAACGATGCGGGGGGGGGGGGTTGAGTGACGGTCCCCCGTCAGAGCCCTATGTTAGGGGCGATCTTGGGCCCGCCTTGGGGCCGTCTTGGGCCCCTATTGCGCTACAGTCGGGGCCCTGAAGAAGGAATCCTTTTCGTTGGGGAGGGGCTCCGCGTTCCTTAAGTGTTTCGTAGCTTGCCTCAGGTTTTCCTTATGTTTTCGATCGTAAATCGAAGTTTAACTTATGGAAGAATGGGGCCTCGTTCCTTGTTTGGGGTTCCTTAGGTCAACGCCCCGACTGTATTCCTGGGGCCCTCTTGGGCTGTCTCGGAGCAGTCATCAGGCCTTCAGGGCCCACCGGAAGGCAAACTGCGAGAATGCGCTCAGCATCGATTTCCCATACATGTTTGAAGGGTTTGGGCCTCCCGGGGGTCTCCTCGGGAGGCTCGGGGGGCACTTGCAGCCGTCCTGGGGCGGTCTTGAGGGCTCTTGGAAGCATGCTGGAAGCTATGTGGAACAACGGTGCGATACCGCGAGCGATCCTGGAGGCCATCTTGGGCTCCCTGTGGCCCTCCTGGAGCCATCTTGGGCCATCTTGGGCGCTCAAGCGGCCCGCGACACGCCCCACTGCATGGCCCTCCCCGAAGGGGAAGAATGGGGGTGAGCAGCAAGGGCTCGTTGGAGTTGTGGGGGACGATCAATGGAGAGGAAGCGTGCTGCCAAATAATTTCCAGATGTCAAACACATGTTTCAAACATGTTTTAGACATGCTAACAAGATGTTTGAACCATTTGAAGGACATGTTTTACACATTTTAAACACATCTTTAACTCAATGATAGGATTGTTAGAGTGTCCATTGTCGTGGCATCCACAAAGTCAGAGCACTCACGCACAGAGGGCTGGCGGGGTTCAGCCAATTCCCCAATTCACGGAGAGCTGATCAGGCACAATTCGACCAGGGAAGCCAGTTCGCGGGCGCCCCATGACGGCCCACCACGGCCGCAGGGTGCCCAACCATGCCCCAAGACGTTCCGAAGCGACCCCCGAGGCGGGCCAAAAGCGGCCCAAATGTGGCCGCACGGCGGGGCAGCAGGCTCGCTCGACGGCACGAGGGGGCCCGAAGAGGCCCCGCCCAAGAGACCCCTAAGAGGCAGGCTTCTTGGGGCCCCCTTGGGGCCCAAGATAGCCCAAGCGGGCCCCAAGAAGCGCGCGGGGACCCCCTCAGGATTTCCAAGCAGCCGGCGAGAGCCCCCGCACGGCCAATCGGTGCTTCCAGACCACCCCAAGCTGTTGCCCAGGAGTGCTCTGCGACGAGCCAGCAGGCCGCCCCCCAGGCGGCTGGATTAGGATGACGGGTCGGATAGTGAGTGCATGTGTGATGCATATATAAGTTTATATATATATATATGTTGATTTGACTATACATGTATATGCTTGTGCTGGTGTGTATGCACATACATACATACATGCATCCATACACACATACATGCACACCTACGTGCATGCATACATACGTGCACTCAAACACACCTACATACACACATACATGCATACATGCATGCAGACATACATACATACATACATGTACACATACATACATACATACATACATACATACATACATACATACATACATACATACATACATACATACACACATACATACATACATACATACATACATACATACATACATACATACACATGCATGCATGCACACATGCATATGTATGTACATACATGCACACACATACATACACCTATACCTACATACATACGTGTATGCATACATGCATGCATGCATACATACATACATGCGTACGTACGTACGTACGTACGTACGTACATGCACACATACACACATACATACCGATGCATATATACACATATCATTATACAGAGAGACTGGCAGAAGGACCACCACCGATATCTGGTCTACGAGCTCCTCGCCGGTGGAGATGCGCATGCGCGCCTCAGGATCCGCCTGCTTCTGCACGATCGGAGGGAAGCTGGTATCTCAGTTGCAGCTTGGTGGTGGTACGGTTTCGCTTGCAGAGTGACTCGAAGAGGGGTCGACGCAGTTTCTCCACGTCCGTCTCTTTCTCTTTCTCTCTATTTCTCCCTTTGCCTTTTCGCGATCCTCTCTCCCCAATCTCTCTTTATCTCCTTCTGTCTTTCGGTATCTGTTTCTCCGTGCCTCTTTGGCCCCTCGTCTCCCCACTCGTCTGTCTCCTCTCTCTCCTTTCCCTCTGCTCTCTCTCTCTCTCTCTTTCTCTCTCCTCTGTTCCCTCTTTCTGATCCTTTTTACCTAACAGCGAAGACTGATAGGTTTCTAATGGTTTCAAAAGAAAGCATCATGACTCCCCAGGGGGGTCCGGGCAGGATCCGGGGAGAATCCGCGGAAGTCGTTTTAAGCAAACAGTTACACACTTCGTGGTCTTCGAGGTCCCAGAACTCCATTCCCGGGCCACATTCTGAATGCCCGGAGCCAACTGTAGGCCACTTCGTGGTCTTCGAGTTCCCAGAACTCCATTCCCGGGCCACATTTTGAATGCCCGGAGCCAACTGTAGGCCACTTCGTGGTCTTCGAGTTCCCAGAACTCCATTCCTGGGCATGATTTTGAATGCCCGGAGCCAACTGTAGGCCACTTCGTGGTCTTCGAGTTCCCAGAACTCCATTCCTGGGCATGATTTTGAATGCCCGGAGCCAACTGCAGGCCACTTCGTGTTCTTCGAGTTCCCAGAACTCCATTCCCGGGCCACATTTTGAATGCTGAGGCAGGCTGATGCTGAGGCTGAGGCAGGCTGAGGCTGAGGCAGGCTGAGGCTGAG